CTAAAATCACACATTTTATGCACTTATTTCTAGAAATCACACACAGTGTTTGAAAATTCCATGATTTTCCATGTAGTCATTTTTACAACATTCCATGACTTTTCCCGGCCTGGAAAACGAAAACAAATGTCCATGAATTTGTCATGACTTTTCCAGACTGTGGGAAGCCTGATCCTATCAGTAAGACGTTTGATGGAATGAGATCAGGGGACAAAGAGAAATCCATCCAACATCAAGCACAGGGGTGTAAAAATGCACAAAGTAAACACTGTGACATTTCTGGGCTTTCAACCCCTTCATAGTGAAGCCATCCACAGCCACGGCTTTGTGTGAGGATTAGTGCATACCACACATACAGTCTATTCACCATGCAGCTGCTGGTTCAATGGGGCCTGCTGCTGGACAGAGCTTTGCCTACTGGGCACACCACAGCCCAGCAGTCACGGTCAAAAGAATTCTGGCGTGAAGGGGTTAATGGCTAACAAGGCGAGAGTTCTCTCCCAAAAACAAGATTATGTGAGCCTTGAGTTTTGTACAAAATAGCCCCCAAATGGTAGCAAAACCAAAAGATAACGTCACAACGAATCCTAAACTCTAGAAAAATCCTCAGAAGACACCTCCCTGGTCTGAGAGAAGTGATTTTGCAGTTGTTCACTTCTTCATCACAGGACTGGCTAGGTATTCATTGACAGAGTATGGTTGGAAGAGCTGGTCACTTTTCTGATGCCAAAACATCAGCCATTTCCTTCAGGCAATTCAACAAGGAATTCACAAAACATTTCACGTGTCTTCCGCGAGGGAAAGGCCCTACAGACTTGTGTATTCACTGCATATCCATTCCACATCTGCAACAACATGCTGGAGAAATGCCACAATAGCAGATGTATGAAACATTCCTTACTTGACAATTAAGGGTTTGGGGCTAATAATTGTTTACCTTCTTGATTGGAGGAAGCCTCTTGCTTTCGCGGTTGACAGCATCCAAAGTCTCTATGTGCATAGCCACCATTCCTGTGCAAGACCACAAATCAGTGGTTAGCATGCACGCAACATGGGTAAGATTGACTGGCAGACGCTTTCTGACTTGACAGAGTCACGGTTTAACAATGTGAAAACTGCACCGGCTCTTTACGGCTTGAAAGAGTGTGCCTTCCAACAACCTGTGGCTTGAATCTGACTGGTCACAATACTCACTGGATAAGTGATCTGAACGTTATGAGACTTGGTGAAAAAAGTATGACAGGCATTACAAGTGGAACAGTGTGTTGTTCAAACAATTCAATGTGAAAGTTGGAACACTGAAGGTTGACAGTTCATATCGTTCAGTTTGACTGTCCAAACAGTTCAGTTTGACAGTCCAAATACAAATAGTACAGTTTGACGATTCAAAAAGTACTGTATGACAGTCTGAAAAGTTCATTTTGACCATCCAAACAATTCAATTTGACAGTCCAAATAATTCAGTTTAACAGTCAGAACAGTTCAGGTTCATAGTTGAGTTTGACAGTTTAATCAGTCTGACTGTTCAAGCAGTTCAATTTGACAATTTTAACAGTTCAACACGTCAAAACAGTTTAAATATTTTGACAGTTTCAAAAGGTCTAGCAGTTCCCATTTGACAATTCATATACACGTACTTTGGCAGTTCAAACAGTAGGGTAGTTTTATGTACCTGGTATCATTGTGTGGAGGTTCTTGAGGTGTTCGCTGGCAACCCCAGCCTCCGTGCACACCTTGTCCACGAACCGACAGATGAACTTAACGACCTGGTGCGACACGTCGTGGCTGTTGTTGTCAAAGTGGTTGTCATTGTAGCTGTCACTGCCGCTGACACTACTGTGACACAGAAAAAGGGGGACAATCAGTGATTCTCAATTTGGCCCCCTCTCCCTTCGGATCCCAGATTTTTGGCTTGAAATTTGGCATGGATGTCACGAAATCTATAATGAAAACAGGTGTTCAGGTTTAAATCCAATCAGACTATGAGTGATCTGTTAAACTCTAACAGTCCAAAATCCTCCAATTTCAATATGATTTTACCAGTACATACATTTGTACATGTACACCCTAGAGGGTTAGGGTCAAGGATATTAATACTTGGAGCTATCACACGTTAGTCTGTTCAGAGAGAATGTAGACAAGACCATGTATGAGGAGGGTGAACTTCCCTCTACTCAAACAGGCCATGTTGGAAATACGTGGCTATGGCTGGAAATAAACACGCACGCTGGGGAGAGCAGCAAGCTAGTGGCTGTGACCATTTCCCATTGACCAGTGTGCGGTTGTCAGCCGTAGCCAAGTAACTCAGACACAGCACTTGCAGATAACTACTCCCTACACTGTGTTCCCTGTGTGCTTAGATTTCTGGGTAGTAAGCAAACACCGCCAAGTGACCCATACCACAACCCAAACCTATGCCGTGCATCCCGTTGCAGTTCACTTTATAGGTGTGCTGAGTTCCTACATCACATGATCACAGCACATAGGAGTTCGTGCAGACGTCCACGAGTGCGCCTCCGTCAAAGTGGTTTTCACAGACATTTTGTTATGGTCGTGGCATCTATATAACGTCAGGTTTGAAGGATAGGCCTACATGTACAAGCACAATATCAGAGAACAAACGGTATCTGCGAAGAGGGTCATATCTTTCTGGAGTAATGGAATCGCCAGAGAGGAGTATTAGGTCCGAAGGCAGGGACCACATACTGGCAAGAGGTGGACTGACTTGTGACAATCTGGCTCAATATCCAATAACGACAGCAGCATATGTAAAAGTGAATGCTCTTCATTGTGGCCATTCTGCGTATTAGCATATACACATTGCGTTGACAGGAAACACTGTAAAATACACTCCCTGGTGCGGCTGTGACGCATAGAATGTGTGGATCAAACAACCTTTCCATATAGTCTCCTCTGTATTATTCGATCCCGCCTATTTCCCCCGGCCCGCACCAAATGCGGAACCAGACCCCGAGCGTACGTACATGTGCAACTGGAAAAAGACAGCACGCTGGATGAGTGGGCACGATGCAGCAACGTGCTCATTTATCCAGTGCATTCTTCTGGAAATCCCAGCATGCTGGAAAAATGAGACCGTTACACCAGCCTGGCACTGACTGGCTCTGTACATGTGTCGTGTGGATCTACCCGCCAGTAGAGGGCGGTTTCACAGTCTAGTCCACTTGCTCAACGTCCCGGGAAAAACTCCCGTCAACTTAATTCTGTCGACACCCTGTTGAGTTTGTACTGATTGGCTCAATCTCAAGTAGTGCCAAGTGCATATCAATCGTATGCACACAAGAGCACTCCCGGGCATTGTTACGTAATTATACACACGATAGACACACACACACAGTGGCATGCAAATCCATGCTCAAGTTATTAGCCTTTGACATTCACCAGACCAATTTTTGTGCACGTTACTTTTTTGCGTCTTGAATTGAGTTGCGCAGGTGCTACATTATATAAGCAAGGAGGAACATTGAGTATCAAGTAACAAAGTGACAGGGATCAGACAAATTACTATTTAAAATGAGGACATTGTAATAAAAGGAGTGGGAAAAACAAAGAAAACACATGAATTCAAGAAATTAGGAATTCTCAGAATTCGTTTTTATAAAAGTACTTCATTCTAACAGTGTTTTTTATATCGAGATTTGACAGTGACTAATGACTAGAATCTGGACCAACGTCTCACCTGCTGGTCAGGTTGCTACTGCCGCTCTCCCCGTCCATGCAGATGGAGTTCTTCAGTCCCCTGGTAACGTCCAGCGGCACCCGCATGCAGACCATGCGGTTGGCATAGTGGATGGCCTGGCTGTAGACGATGCTCTCCTCATTCTGCACCAGCTTGTCCTGCTCCTCGCAGTCCAGCCCCGACCACAGTCGCAGCTGCTCAGCCGCGATGTCCAAAGGGGAGCGCTCACTGGCCGCGATGAAGCCGTTGGCTGACCCGCCAGGTGATTCTGTAATGCCATTGCTTGCCTAGGTTTGAGAGGCCACAAGTAAATTAGACAAAAATGTAAAATTTCCAACATCACAAGACTTTCCGCAAAGTGCAACACTAAACATACATCCACAGGTCATAAATCTGTCTTACATCGCACTTGGCATCGTGCTCTGACATGTACAGCTGCCTGATGTTGGTCTCTACGTCTTGGTAGAAGGCCGTCTCCCAGAACTGGAGGCTTGCCCAGACCGGGTGGTCCTGGGTGCAGCTATAGGCGAACTGAATCACCCCAGTGCATAGTTTCTGAAAGTACAATAGGAGTGGGTTAAAACTGGGTGGTTGTGGGTGCACCTGTAGGTGAACTGTGTCACCCAAGTGCACTGTTTATGAAAAAAGCATAATAACAGGAGTGGGTTCAAAATGGGTGAGAGTGGGTTCAAAATGGGTGATAGTGGGCTCAAAATGGGTGAGAGTGGGTTCAAAATGGGTGAGAGTGGGTTCAAAATGGGTGAGAGTGGGTTCAAAATGGGTGAGAGTGGGTTCAAAATGGGTGGTCCTGGATTCAGCCTTAAACAAATGGAATAACCTAAGTGCAAAGTTTCTGAAACCTAAATATGTGAATGGGGCTAGGAAAAGGTGATTTGGGGGGTGAAGCTACAGGCAAGCTGAATCAAGTGTGGACTTCCGTAGGTGAAATACGGGTGGAAGCATAGGGTTAGAACTGTGTCATCTCGGGTATGCCTTTGAGTGAACTCAGTCATCCTGAAGCACAAATTCTATTAAGGTTGGAATAATGGGGTCAGATTTGACTTGGATGCTACGCACGGTATGCCCAACAAAGTTTCAATCCTGATAAAAATCTGACCATGACAAAAGAACAGAATGGTGATTAAGTGCCTAACAATAAATGCTCCTTTTCCAATACGGGCAAATTTTCAGCTAGGTCAGTAACTTTTCACCACCAGTTCCTCCAAGACAAAGATCACTCATTACATAAGCAGAGATGAATCAAAGAATCAAGGTTGACTCACTCTGCAGAAGGCGGTTATGAGCGGCAGCAAGGCCATGGAGAGACTGTACTCCTCGCTACAGGAATCCTCCTGGTCACAAGGAAAAATAGACGGGGAAAAAAGGGAGAAATTACAATCACGCAACAAAATCAGCTGAAGAGTTGATGTAGCCACCGTCTACAGTAACGGCCGATTTCCACAGACAAGTAGAACTGGAACTCTGATTTCCTATGGGGCTGTTTACACGGAGAGAGGAAGAACCTGAGACTCATTATTCTTGCCATTCAGCATCTTGTTAGGGCCGGCGACCATTTAGACCTGGTTAGAAAAGGGCCCCCCGGTAAGCTCGCCCGGTTGCAAAAACCCCTTTCATACCGGCCTGGCTACAGGCCTGGGATGCTGGACTGGTTGTTGATCTCGAACTTCTTCATCCTGGGGTCTATTGTTTGCAAGTACTGGTACATGTAATCTATCCCAGAAGGAACCTGTTTGTGGTTTTTAATCCTTCAGCTCTATACAATGTTTACACTAATCCGCTTAGACCCCTATTCATCTGTGCAAGCATGGTGGGGGAAGCCTTTCATCAGGGACTTTGAAATGCCAATGTGCAGACAGGCCTTATACCAGCCTGGAGTAGGCTGAATACCGGGCAGGCATTATATCGGGTGGGCTACCAGGGGGCCCTTTTCAAACCGGGTCTAAATGGTCGCTGTCCCTTAGGTATAAGGTCAAGGACTGCATAGAGCAAAACTGGTCACGAGTTTTGTTACGCCTACAGTTCCTTCAATGGAATGCAACTAATAAGGTCATTCAAACTCATTTAAAATAATAATTTGCATATCAAACGGATTTGTGCCTTGTGTGCAGATGTAAACATTGTGCGTCATGCCACTTTCCAATACCACTTCCCGTTATCGTTCATCTGTGTGAACATGACCTCATAACGAAAGATACAACAATCAGTGAACTCTAGCTTACCATACCATGTGCTTATGAAATGGCTTTCCAGTCAATGTACCAGAATGTAGGACTCAGTCAATGCTAAGACAAACCATTTCCACAGCTATGGTTTCATCATTTTCCAACACTAATCAAGTATTTACAATTGGGGAGGTTCAAGAACTAGCTCGAGGCACAAGACTCGAAAGCAGTCTCATGTCCGCATAAGGGTCAGAGGTCGTAAGATACTTCACCTGCAGTGCACAGTTGATGAGCCTGACCACCATGTCAAACTGCTGCTGTTCTAGCACCGACCGGTTCTCCTGCACGTGCAGCGCCAGCTGCCTGACCAGGGCCTGTCTGATGACCCGGCTCTTCAGAGAGCGCAGTACTGCTGGGAATAGCTGAAATGAAGCGGAGTCGGGGTACCAGTCCATGTCAAAATCAAAGTGATGATGCTTTCACTACGTATCTGTATCGCATTATATAGGTTACCTGTGTGATTGCAGTTGGCCTAATAGCAGCCATCCTTCATGAGTAGCCAAATCCAGAGATGTTGTCACTGGACATTGACAATGGCCCCCTAAATGGCATTTTGGTCAGAGTAACTGCCATAGAGCACTTGCTGCACACAACAGACACAATGCTTTCCGCCACAGAAGGGGGCCAACGGGAATGTCCAGTGATTGCACAACCATGGCCATCAGATTCCTCTATAGGTTAATCTGAGGAGGCGTCACAGCCATGCAACAATACCCTAAAAGACTGGCCCCACCCCAAAACTTTAATGCTCTTGTGGTAGGCAATGGAGATGTCAACTTGTAGGAGATTAAGTTCATGAAAATTAAGTCCGAAGCAGGTCATGAGATGATTATGAGGCTCAGATTAATCCCAACAGGTTTCCAAGGGGTTCAGATGTGACTGGATCCCACAAAATGAGTCTTAAGCCACTTTAATAATCCTGTATCAGAGTGGCACTGACATGCTTCATTGAATCACCAGCTTGGCGTCTCCAAGGCAACTGATACTATGAGGGAGGAAAATGTTGGCAGCTCCCAACTGAATTTTCTTTGAGCACAATTCTTTCAACGGCCAAAAATTCAAGCGTGGCTCTGGTAACTTGTGACTAATATTGTTAGGTTAGATCACACGTGACACTATAGGCGACATCTGAATCTATAGCAATAGAATTTGGGATTTGCAGAGATTTGAAGAAATGACGGTCAAACTTGCCCACCTTCTTGGCATCCAAGATCCTGTTGTCAAAGATGTGGCCGATGCAGGTCCGGAGCACCTCCAGCCTACGGGCACTGTTGTTGATGACGTTCATGCGATTCTCAAAGCTGCTGATCTTGGGTCCCGCCGGCACGATCTGGGCCTTTTGCTGTCGGACCTTACTGGCCTTCTGGTTCAGGCTCTGCACGATCTGGAATCAAAACCAAAAACAACATACGTTTAAATGGAAGACGCCCAACAGTTGTTCTCAAAGCTTTGTCTTTTGACGATTAACCCCGAAAGAGTAAGGGAGGGGAGCATTGTTCGACGCTTTGCCTGGTATCATTTGCAATGCTTGTTTGGGCACCTATCCCTCAAGAGTTTTCCCAGTGATGTCTTACAACCATTTTGACAACAATTTGATGAAAATTGGGCATACCATCCATGCAAACCTGCCATTTTTCTGCAAAGAATCAAGTGAAATTGCCACCTTTTTCACACTGATGTGAACTGAATGAATTAAATGAATTGACACTTCACAGATAGAGACATAATGAATGTCTTTACAAGCACGACAAGTTTCAAAAAGATCAAGCATTGGCCAGCTCAGTTCTTGGGGGTGAGGCGAAAAATCCAACCTCCACTGGATGTGAGCCCACCTCTTTCAGGTTTGAAACTTGGTTTTTCAATTTTGACACCCTTGGCTTCATCCTCTCTGACCCAGTCTCCCAGTCTGGTAGCCAAAGCAGTGAAGTCAATACAAGGGCCGATAAATCTCACTTAATTGCTTCTAAAAGCTCGGGAGTGAAAATGTGCACAGCAGTAAGGAAGCAGATAGTTGTGTTTGATTGGGCCCTCCGTAACCAATTAGCGATGTTGAGTTGAGTAATCCCTAGGGTGCTGAATAATTCTCAGGGTGCTGAGGGGCCTGTTCTTATGCATGATGGGCTGGGGTAATAATCATGCAATTCCGTCAGCAACACAACTGGTCGGCATGTGTTGGTTAGGAGAAAATGCTAAGTGTAACAGGCAGTAACTTGAGTGTCTACCCGAGGTTCCCCACAAAACCCTGTAAACCTTGTAAAATCTCGAGAGAACCTCAAGTCGTTACATGTCTACTTTCCCATTTACTCCTAAGACACTATTTCAAAATTCTTATCAAGTACAGTGTGGGTGTCAGGCAGAACGGTCTGACCGATACATTTATTACTGGTTGGCTATCAAGTGAAGTGTTCTCAAGAGGCCAATTCTAGCTGATAAATGCCTTTACACTGCATTCCTCCCCAGCCTATGTGGTTTCAGTGGAGCAACACCCCCTCCATTATTCACTCAACACAAGTCACGGTTATTATTTATTTATCGGTCAGATGGCCCTGTCCTATAGTCAACCGATAGGAATTTTGAAATGGTGCCTAATGGACCTGCAGTATTCGGAAGTGTTATAGTCAAGGCCTGTAAGTCCCTACAAGTCAACCATGAGACAGCCGGTCTTGCATCCAGCCACATACCATTCCACTGAAGTGTGACAAAAGCATTTAACTGTTTACCCTGTTACTTGGAGCTATGAGTAGGTCTGTAAAGAAGTGACTGCACCTGTGACAGCAATGGTAACAAATACTGCTAAGGAATCTCCTAGGACTCACCGCTTTGTTGAGGCCATCCTCAATCACCTCGCCCACCAGCTCCTCCTTTAGGCGGGGGAAGGGCATCTGGTTGATGCGTGTGTGAGCGCCCTCAGTCGGCCGCGGTATCTTCTCCAGGTAGGTGGACTTGGTCGGGTTTTCCTGTCGTACATCGGGAGACATTGAAAACAGTGTCAACACACTTAAAAATTTGTGGTTTTTTCCTTTTTTCACCCTGGGACACAGGGGAGCTGAGAATCCTAAACACCAGCAGGCGGATGGTTACAACCAAGTCCTGAGATGGCGTAGGAGAGGCTATGCACCTTGCATGGCATAACATGATCTTGGGGACGGGATTCAAATTAAGTGTAGAATTATTGTTTCCAAATCACTGCATCCTTTCCCGGGCTTCTTAACAATCTTCTCCCTCCCACTCCATATCCCTCCCTCTTTTCAAGCCGCTTACATGCAAAGGGTCCATGCAAGGAATTTTTCTTCGGCAAACTTTTCATACATCAGAAGATTTTTCTTCGGTGTATCAAACAAAAAAAATTGACATCTGTCTTGGGTTATGCAGTGCACTTTTTAATATATTCAAATTGCCCAAGATGTTGACAACTGAGGGCGCTATTGCCGTGATGTCAATCAGAGAAGACGCTGTTCCGTTATTATGTTTTTATGTTGGATATATGTGAAACGTACATTTGCTCAATGGATACATTTCTGACAAACGGCTACACATACGCTTACTGCTATCTACTTACAACATAATGAATCACGAAAAAAAAAAATTTAAGACGGCAAAATAGGGCTAGGTTCATGGTGAACATATCCCTGTATCAACTCCCCCAGCCAATTATCCCCCCCCCCATTTAGCTACTCACATTGATGTAGAGGTAATCGCCCACATCCCGGATGTTTTTCAAGGCTTTCTCTGAGCTTCCCTCTTCCTGGTTCAACGTGTCTGAGATGTTGGCCACCAACTACAAAACACAGAAAAAAATTTCTCCGAAGTCTGGTTTCGTATGGTCAAACGAACGTCAAAGTTTGTGTCAGTCGCAATGAAGTGTTTCCATATCACTGGGTATCATCAGGCAGGGACTGATCAGGGATGCTCTCTGCATCTCCCTACGTCGCTACGGAAACCAGGTTAATAAAAACCTACATGGGAGAAACTGATGCAATTCCAACTTCCTCAACATGGAATATTATCCAGTGACACTGATAAACTGGAACAAGAAAAATATTTATGAGGCACAAAAATGATGTAAATATGCAAAGAAAATTGGCTCCTTACCTTGTCAAATATGTCGCATACCCTGTAAGGTGGCCCTTTGTCATTCACAAACGTACTGAAACTCATGCTGTCCAGAACCTTGCTCAGAAATTCCTCACCGACCAATGACCGTTCAAACAAGAATAATCCCTACAAAGGAAGCACAAGAATGCAAAATTTTCAAATGTTGGAACCTAGGGTTTTTAATCTCAGAACTGACATTGAAAGTTCCAATATTTTAGTTATACCTATGGCCATGAAGTCTATTTCTATTTGTCTTGCCCGAATTTCTGCCTTTCACCGAGGTGCCGAGTTTGACAGTGTTGCTAAAAAAATTAGTTCCTTTTGCAGTAAAATATAAGAGGACAAGTCATAGCGTTTGCATTTCCGTTTCAACTCACTGCAACATGAAGAACAAAGTTCAAAAAGAAAAAGAAGGACTGTAGACTAAAGACCTGGGGATAATAACAGACAGAGCCAAGTTCATTTTTGTCGCCGGGCCCTAGCTGATTTTAAAGCATACTCGTTCAAAACCAACCCGTCAACTTTGCATTCCCTTTTTTAAATCTAGAGGAGGTGATGCGGGGATGGGTTGTTACCTTGTTGAACGTGATGACAGGCTCCGGGTGAATCCTGATGAGTGTCAGGCAGGACCTGTAGCCCATGAGCAGCTCGGCTTGCAGCCGCAGGAAAATGGCCCGTATCTCCTTGTCCGTCATGTCCACCCGCTGACTGGTCTCCAAGGGTTTGGGGAAAGCCAAATCTGCTGACTTCAACTCCGGGTTGAGAATCTGTGCACCAATAGGGAGAAAATAATCAGTTTAAGAAACATTTTTTCCTGTACGGATTAACCCTAAACCCAAGGGTGTATGTAAAATGGTATTGAAATTGGAGGATTTGGGACTGTTCGGGTTAATGCAAAGCATATCCAGCAAGGTAAAGCAAATTGGTATATACCGGTACATGTAACTCTGTACTGAAAACTGTCCTGGCCCTTAATAATCATGTGACCAGTCCATAAAAGTACATATTACCCTCATACTTGGGCAAATTACATCATGACATCACAGACTAGTCCTTGCCTCACACTCCAGACTATAATATACATGTAGGGAGTGCTGACCAGACTACTTGTATTCATGCATACTTGCGCTGCTATAGATAAGTTGATAACAGTAAACTATGATCATCAGCTACAGGAGAATTTTAATTTTTTGTCAACTTGATACAACATTTTTAACACTCTCCATCATGTATCGCTTCGATTCACGTGCTGCACATCTCTTGGTGTTTATTTTATCCCACACCACTTGCTAGATACATCTCTTCCCAAGTTTTTAATAACATTGAAACATTGACTGAATTCCCAAGCAAAATCAGGGCAACGTCAGTATTAAAGTTACCAAATTAATGAAATTACATGTACATTGTACCTGCCAGTCAGTTAACGGTACCAAAATGAGGTTTCCTACCAGTGTCAGATGATCATGTGACCGTTGGAAGATGTCCTCTCGTGGCAAGTACAAGTTGATGCACTCAGGGACCATGATGCAACCTCCATCCAAATCCGCGATGATGACGTCCATCTAGTGAAAAAAAAGACAAAAACGATCCCTTCAGTTTAATTTAACTGTCAGAACTGACATTAAAGAACTGTTCAATTTTAGAGGTGGGAGGAAACCACTGGACAAATGCTCCTTGTAAAACCCATAAAATCAGGTGGGACTGAAAATCTACCCCGCAAGTCCATCTACATTGAATTTAATCACTGAGTCACCAAAATGGAAGCCAAGATAAAAAACACTGCAATAACCTGACTCCCTTCAACAATAACCAGGTTTAAAGACATACAAACAACTACTCCAAAGTACTCAAAGCTGTTTTCTGGCATTACTCCATGAGAAAACTTTAACACGATACTCAGCACTTTAAGTCTTCCAGCATTCCACACCAAATCTAAGGTGAGGAACTACGTTCTGCTCACCAATTCGGCCATCTCGTTCTTCATGGACGAGTGAACCCCCATGATGAACGGCGTTGGCGTGCTCAGCACCTCCGTCAATGCAGCAGGGAGGATAGGGATGTACACGTAACTGGGTAAAGGATATGGAGGAGAGCAAGAGATAAGAGGGTCAGTCCAAACTGAGAGGTCACAGGCAAGGGGTTAACAGAGAAGACATACCCAAAACGGTACATCTTGAAAGAAAGCTCAGTTTGAGAAAAAAAATCAGACCGAAAGTTCAAGGCCTCATACAGTTTCTTTGATCTTACAGTCAACTGAACCAATATTTTGCAAAACTGTTACAGCTCAGGCAATGTATTCCTACAACCTGCCCAGTGCCACAGACGGTTATTGCTGTTTTGTGCACATTCTGATAAAAAATCAGCACTGCATTTTTTATGCAGTGGTGAGCAGAGATTTGCTCACCACTGCTCTTCGGATGGTCCAGGACTCACCTATATTTCAGTGGGTAGAGTAACGAGAGCAAGGCGGTGCAGGCTTCTGTCAACCTGGTGTAGCTGCTGGAGTGAAAGAGAATCTTCTGGTCCGTGATGGCCGCGCTGTACAGACACATTACATTGCGAATACCTGCACACACCAGGGTGAGGGTAAAGAAAACTATGAATGTCTCTGAAGTGGCAGCAAAATATTGCAACATAAGCCAGATTACCAATTTGGAGTCACTTTGTTTTCAAGAAAGCTGTAACTAGAAACAAGAACTGTCTTCACTCTGTATTGTTTTTCAGATTCCTGAGTCATGCATGTACATGTAGTTCCCCGGACCCTTCTCGGGAATCATTGGTTTTGTTTACCAGATATAAATAAGAATAATATAAATAAGCCGTTACCCGTACCATACAGAACGAAAAGTTTTACTGATGGGATCTACTTCTTGGTTTTTGATTTATACGGGTTTTGGAGTTAAGGAAACTTGGATTTAATGACACAAGCTGGAAATGAAGAGACAATAGGCAGCACCCGCAGTTCCAACAAGCAAAACCAAGGGTTCCTGATCTCCGGGTAAAAGCAGACTGTTACATGTAAAATGGACGTTGGAAAAAGGAGATGGCCGTGCACTGGACAGGATGATGGGTCCAAGCTTTACCTAGTTGCTGCATGAGCATGGCTATCTTTGTCCCTGTGATGGGCAGCTTATCGCTCAGGGGTGGCTGCAGCGCCTGTCTGTCCCCTGCACCAATGGAGAAACGTACCTGGAGGAAAAAAAACAGTCAAATGCTTGGGAAAACTGTGTGGATAACAGATTTACTTCAAGTTTTTGGTAAAAATTGAATAATGTACATATAAACAGGGTAAATAAAACTCAAGTGTTCAGTTGGAATATATCCGTACATGCATTTGTCAAATGGAAAAGGGCATCCAAAGCTGTCATCAAAACGATGACTCAAAGATATTTGGATAGCTCCTTAGGTAAGAAAAAACATGAGTAAAATCGAAGTTTTGGATGAAGAGCACTGATTATTTAGACAGTTAATAGGCAGTCAAATTGCAGAATTAAAGTTTTGCAGATGATACTGTTCCCTGCAGAATTTTTTCCTCTCCCAAAAATAACAATTCCTTCCTTGTCTGGTCTCTCTATACCAGGCTGGGTCCTAGGGAAGGACAATGCTACAGCAGTTATCATTTGAGATGCTGAAGATAAACAAATGAACGCCATGCAATGCTTTGGGGTATTACGGAACTTCGGTAACTTTGGCATTACATTTTCAGCAGCCAAACAAAGAGTTAGTGAGAATAAGGGAAACCAAAATTTCCGAAACTTGTTCCACAACCAAATGAAGAAATTCAACAACCTGGTCCCTCAGATTAAACACCCCACCGCTTAAACAAGCCAAATTTGTCACATTTTGTTGGGTATACAAATGACATTCCTGAGATTGCATGCAACTGGTCCTCTAAAAAATTCCACATCTTTTCTATTTTTAGTTCATTTTGTGGCTTTTATCATTGTCGTTTTAATCAGTTGCAATGACTTTTCAATTTTTTTCCAGGATGTGGAAAATCCTCCCTTGTCATCAACCAAATTGATGGAGGAAAATGTGGAAAATGTACCCGTGATAGCTCTTGCTGGCCGTTATTACTCAATCAGAACAAACTATAAATACATCTTGATTAATATACCGGTACTTGTATCAATCTCCATGAATTTGCTGAATCACATCAGTTAGCTCTGCACATCTACACGAACCATAAGGTACCGGTAATATACATGTAATGGACTTAGCAAAGTGGCTTTGCACTGGGCAAACTAAATGTACATGTGTAAGTGTACATGTATGCAACTCTAGTCTATTTGTACAAACTACATTTGTGTTGAGCATGGGATGCACTTTGCAAAGACTGCAGGTACATGTACAATGTACAAGGCATGAACTGTACACTTGGCCAGCTTCGAAAACAATCCGGATGGAGTGCTCGTACTCTAGTTGATAAACAAGTTGGAATAACTGCATTGACAATCACTTTGACAGCCAATCTTCTCTGGCTATTTGGACTGGGTTCGTACATGTACCGGTATGCTCAGTACACTGATCTGCACACTGACACAACAACCTTGGACACGAACAAGCTCACATAAACCACCCCCCCTCCCCTCGGCCCAGAAGATGCAAAATGCAGCCTTTGACAAAGATGGAGGTAAATCAAATGGGACGATTCCTCAGTAGGCAATGGTTTTACAGGGGTGATTATGGTACAGCTCAAGCCAGCCAGTGAGGCATGTGCATGTACCATAAAATGACGGTACATGCAGACATTAAAGTGTAAAGCCCCTAACCTGGAATTCACTTCTGGGGTTTTTCAACATAAAAACTATCTCTGGTCAGGTGACTCTCTACCCAATTTCGAGCCAAATATCCGGACATCATTTTTCAGTCTTTCAGTGTACGGTGCATTTAAAGACATTTGAATTTCTTCACAATTTTTATATCCATTTTTTAAGGTCATGGATCAAATATTGGAAAAAATGAGTTTGAAGCTCATCAATGAAGATACTGAGCAGCATTTGCTGAGGAAAGCCAGCAAGTGCTTCATAACTTGACTGCAGACGGAATAACATACATGTTCATGCACACTGTACATGTACACAAGAGCCACTGATGTGCAGACATGTATACATGTGTACATGTACATGGTCCATCACTGAACTTCCACCGTAAAAATAACTGGAAGCTGAGACAAAGGCCCTTTCATGTGAGCACTGAAAACAGGGGTCCCTTCCACTGACAACACATTGATGTCATGATTGCAGAGATATTTTGTATACCCAAGTGTTGTATGAAGGTGCATCCCTGTCAGCAATCACAAGGGTCCCTGATTGTTTGCCGCCCAGATCCAGAAATCCTCCAAACATTTTGTATTGGATGAGACATCCTTGCGATCATATGAATATAAAGCAACGGTAGACTCTCCACAAGGATGGTGTGCGTTGAAGTCCGTAACGTATACACACCTTTGCTGATGCCATCATTCAAAATGGCGGTTCATGAATTAGTGTAATACCCATTAGTGTAGTCTCTGTGCCATCTGGTTTCACGCATGCATATAGTGCGGTATTTTTATATTTGAGAGGTGGGAACCAGATCTATAAAGTCTGGGCCTCATCTTGGGAGCCATGAATACCAAAAACAAATTGGACTTTACAGTATCTTTAAAAAATTCTGTTTTGAGGCAGAATATTCTTGACTGCATTTCCTTAGATTGGGTTTGATGTCTTTGCGTGCCTATGTTTTAAAGCACCAAAAATTTGTGCTGGCAACAAAGCTGTTACTAACTGGCACCAAAAGTCATGTCTATCCACAAGTCCAATGGAGGAAAAATGCCCAGAATTGTCACAAGATCGAGATCAAAAATCTAGAAAACAGACAGGTGCACAGCTACTGTAGGGCAGCCTCCCGCAGGCAAACAATGTTTCATTGTCACTGACTTTGTAAACAAATATTTGTGACAATTTCCAAAAAGTACTCGCATATACGGCAGGAAATTCACTGGTACACTATAATTCCACCATGCAAAGATATCACAGTACCAGCAACGCAAATGTAATTTTGTTGCAAACCGAGGGATGTTTGCAAATGTGCTATGTTGTACCGTGTGAAGCTTGTGATGATATTGTAAGCAACCCTTGAGAAAGACACTCAACGCCAACCATCGCAGGTGTGTGTGTCCAGCGCTTGTGTGAAAGGCCTTACAGATTGGAATTTTCACATACATGTTCATGTGTGTACATGTACCCTGAAGCTGTTCAAATTCCTACCTTACAAGCACACACATACATATACATGTACCGGTATGTATGTGTCTTTTTAGTCGGAATTTGTTTAAAGCCTGATAAACAATAGGGTGAACAGGAACAGAAACAAGATTATGGGATGGTATAGCTCAACTGAATAAAAAGAAAAAAAAACAGCTGATGGGAAACGAGGAAGCTTTTCAAATGTCAGGAATGATAGAAAGCACTCAGAACACAGCATCAATGACAGATCCTGTTATCAAAAACCATGTTGGAGCTTGTGATCAACTGCACACACACTGTACGGAAGTACCAGAACTCAATAATTCATGTGTACAAAAGCCTACATCCCAAAATGACCTACATGTACATGTATATGGACCAATGCAATAAGGATAGCATGTACATGTACCTACATGTAAAATGTACCGTATATTTACATGTACATACAAAAATGTACATTTGTAGTTGTCCAACTGTACAGGCACGCCCCGCATTCCCACATGGACACTGCATACATGCGCAGAAATGTTCACAGTTACCCTTTTCTGTCCCTTGGTGAGACAAAAGTATCACATCATTTTTGGTTCTCACAATCTCTGTTTGACAGAACCCTGCAAAATGAGTCTCCAGTACATTTGCTCACTTGTTTGTTTTCACATGTGGCTGAGAGAACATTCTATGATTGCATGTACATGTACATAAGGTAAGTGCATGTCCATACAAATCTACCAGTACCTGTACTGGCACATGTGTAGTATACATGGACATTATTTCAGTTGAGTCTCCCACTTGTACATGTACAAGTATGTGAAGAAAAGGCACAGTGCAGGTGCCTGCACATATTAGCACTGTACATTAATGTAATTTAGTCTCCCGCTTACCCATTGCACCATGATGGAGGATGTTGATGAAAATACGGACAGTTCCTAGTATTGATGTCCACTTGACAAGGATTTGTTTACATTGCACATGCAGAGCCATGCAATTTAATATTTATTTATTTTGGTTTGGTCTCCAACTTGCACTACAAAAAACAGTAAGTGTACCAAGATAAAGGATGCGGATGAAGATACTGTAAATTTCTACAGAAACCCACTGAGAAAGATTTGTTTACTACATGCAAAGCCATGAATTTTAGTATGTAATCAATGTGCGATTCAACTACGTGTACGTAAATGTATGAGCACATTCCTTGCTCTATGGTATGGGTGTGTATGGGTGTACCACAAGTTTTAAATTTTGCAACTGTTTTGTTTGGTCAGATCACAAATTATCTTAGACACATTCACAAACTTTAAAATAAAACGTGGAGGAGGAGCACGCAGCTGTATCTGAATCACTTGGCTATGGCTTAAAAACTGCACACAAGTCTATGATAGTGGCTGCAGCCAAGTAAACTCGGATATGGCCTACATGTACATTGTACATGCACCTGAGCCAAAAAGAGCGTGTGCTGCATTATTGTACTATATTCTCAGTAAACAGGGAGGGCCATGTTCATGCACCTGCTAGCGAGTCCCCTACAGAGAAACAGGGTATGTGTACACAGGAAGTTTGCCTATGTGCCTACAGATTTTCAATTAGTTGCAAAATTAAGTCAATATTTGTACAATGTATATGTACATCTACTTGTGAAATGTGCGTGCACTTCAGGAAGAGTCCACTGCATGAAATAATATGTAGACCCTACAACATACATGTACATGTATGCTGCAGACATACATGTACATATCCATGTGCATTAACCTCCAGGATTATGCACGGGTTGTGAAGAAATTATGATTTGAGGATCACCAAGAGGGCTACCTTTGCTGCCCAGGCCAAGAGGGACAATTTCTTTATTTAGGAAAGTCACGACCGAGATGTTGTGAATGAAAATTGTCCCTATAACAAAACATCCTACCGGTGCCGGTAGGTTCCTACAACATCTGCTCATACCGTAACCAGTACGATATATTCCATGACGTGTAGTCCTCACAACAGGTGCATGTACAGTGGTACGTATACATTAGTATCCCAACCACATATCGGTACAAGTACAGGTACAGGTGCAAAATCAACTCATATAGGGGCAAGTTCAATCAAGGACCACTAGCTAACTAGTGGTTGGTCCGTGACATACCAAGCGCATGTGTAGTGAAGGACAAAATAGCAAAAGTGAAAATGAAAATGGTTATTAACTAGTGACATACATGTACTGTTTTTCCCAGCATTTTTCTTATAACCGGTCCTCTCTGCACTGTGCTATTAAATACGATTTACATACATGTAGGGCTGTGCCAAATATCCGAATAACTGAATATTCAATTAATTATTGAACATTTGAATATTAATTTCTGAATTTGAATATTTGAATGCAAAATTTATGAAAAGGAAGGGAACATTTTCTTTTGTTTGAGAATTTGTACATGAGAAAAGATTGCACTATGGAGGCTTTTTTCAAGCAGATTCAAATGAAAAGCGACAGAAATCGAACATGTACAAAGATTCAAAAAGTAAAATTACTCATTAAACAATTAGGAATAGAAATTTTCAACAGGGCAAGAATATTATTCATCTTTTAATCTTCTAAATCGTGGCTAGGGATACTCCTACATGTAGATGTGAGAAGCTATCCTATTGATTAAAATGTACAATTGTGTGCGTCATTGCAACTGATTTTGTACATATACACATATACATGTATACGGTTTGTTCATCAACAATCTACCGGTTGGTATGACCGAATACATGTATTTGGATATTCGATAGAACTGAAGGTCGAATATTCAAATTGTGAATTATTCGAATTGACTCAGCCCTAGATTTATGGCAACCAATGTTAAGACCAACCTTGACGGACTGCTCACAAATAGTTTGACTAGACTAGTCCAACCATCGTCGACTCGCGTGCAATCAATCAGACTTGCCGCGTAGTTGAACTACCGTTAACTATGGTCCTTGACTGCACTTGCCCTAATCAGCACAACATGAGCCACAATGGATGGGGGAAACCAAAACCAAGACACAACTGAAATTCTCTCATGTGTATTCCGATATGAACTTTGTCAAACTTCCACTTATATAGTGTACATGTATAATTTCCACAAGCTTCCCTCTCAGTAGTACATGTATACATGTACCTCCGGTATATGTACGCTATAAGTGTACCTTAGGGGAGTGGGGCAGTCTTGGACTTCATAGCAGCAGATACTGTATCAAGTCAGACACACATGGCTAATCAGGGCACACAATCCTTGGGAAGTGATGCGTGCTATATGTACATGTTCTGGTACATGTATGTGGGATTTTCTGAACTACCAAATAAACTTTAATGATTTCGAGAGAATCTCATAAAAGCTGCATCATTTCCTCTGTTACCGATATCATGTAACCCACACAGCTGTTTCCCCAGTTTGTCCACGAATGTGACTTTGGGCATATTCTCTGCAGACAGATGGCACAATGGAATTCCATTTTACTTCTGCCTACTGGTACCACCACAGGAAAAACACAGTCACCAGATTGGTCGACTGCCAACATGAACTTGGACCGTTCAGCTGGCACAATGCTGTTGCAAAGTGCTGAAGTTGCAGGGCTGTGGTTTCAGTTCTGTTTGACAGCATGACCAGTTGTTGACCGGTGGTCAAATTTTCCCTGCTAACCTGTGCACAAAATGCATCCTGGGTACCAGACAAAAAAAGGAGTAATGGTCGACAACCAGCTGTCACTTGAACTTGCCGATCGTTGCCTGTTGCGGTACAAACTGAATGGTGGTTTTCAGTCAACTGCAAAGATTCACATAATTTTGCCCAGTCCCGAGTATCGCATGGCTCACGCAACAATTGTCCAAAGTTCTGTCCAAGGAAGAAAAGACAATCTATCCCCTTTTATCAACAAATAATTAACTTTGAACTGACTGCCACAATTTCACGCACCATGAAAGTGTGAATGAAACAACAAACTAGTACACAACCAGGATATCAGTAAATGTTCCTGGGTCCATGTTCGTACACTGTACGTATGCTGGATGGCTCATGTTTTCCCTGTAAGAAGGATCTGTCCACAGCCAATCTACCTGCAAATGTGTACAGCAGGATTTTGTTTTCCCATTTCCTGGGCATAAATCTTCAAGTACAGTTGCCAATTTCCACTTTAAAAAAATGCATTCTGTGTGTGCTCCTTATCAAAACATACATGTACATAAACTTTATAAAGAGAATAATTTAGAATTTGTCAGTTTTGAAACTAGATTTGAATTGCCCAGACATCTTTTGACAAATAGTACATGAAGTGCGTGAGAAAAAACTGTACTGTGCTTGGAAGATAGAATTTAACCAGTTCAGAGGAATGACAATTTTGTTCAGAATCTACATACATGTACATTGTATATAAATTTGTAGTTAAATATAGAAGGCAACGAACTCACTGCTAACATACTTTTCTGATGTACATGTACAAGAAGATACCTGTGGCAAACCACGTGGTGGTACCAAGTGAGATCTCTTGTAGGAGTAAGTAGGGTTCTGAAAACTGCAGCCAGCAACTTTTCTTGATAGTACATGTATGCTCCGTCCGTTATTTCGTGTTTGTATGAAAAGTTCTTATCTTTTCCTCAAAACTTTTCTTAGGAGTGAGGGAAGAAAACATTTATTGGAATATGAACCGTCTTCATTTACCAAAAAAAAACACTTCTTGGCCGTCAATTTAATTTGTGAATGTGGGAAACTGAATAGCTACATGAAATAGGGGACTGAACATGTATCTGGGTGGTTGAACGTGATCACTGAACGGCCTTAAATCTGCCTGCAGTTCAACATCACAGTTTTCAACAACAAAAGAATTTGCTCTGCGCATGCAGTGTCCATGTCTAGTTCCTGTCAAGCTTTGGCACAAGTACCAATATCTACTGTGGAATTCATTACTTCCCAGGCCCGCCCGCCTGACTCTACCAGCTTGAACCCAGCGTAGAATCAGCACATCTTCAGAATTGTTGGCATCAGGCCAAGAATGGCTCTCGGGGAAACTACCACAAGTTTTTTTTTCTTGAAAGAGAGAGGAATGGCAAATTCCAGGGTTCCCACAGGCATCTGAAAAACAAATTTCAAGACTTTCCCAGGACTAAAAATATGACAGTTTCCATGACATTCAATTCAAAATGCTACATGCACATGTATATTTGCTGAGAAAAGTTGTTGGGTATTATGCGCATCGCAGAAGACTACTGCCGTGTAGCCACTGCTGTAGTGACAAGGACAGCCAGTAAATTCACAGGGTACCATTATTATTGCATCCAAGAAGCCCACAACCCTTGCATGATCTTGATTTCTGTGACTTTTTGCCTCAGACATGATTCTAGGACACCCCATTTTCGGCCAATTTTCCGTAACTTTTCCATGACCTTCCAGTATAATTTTTCAAAGGATTTCCAATGACTGTGAGAACCCTGAAGTCAGATCTTGAGTCCAGATCTCAAATCCATTCAACTCTGGCCGAGCCATCAAAGAGAGCTTCATAAACATTCAGGCTGACAGGTTAGAATGAGTCTTTGTCAGTAAACAATGAAATAAAAGCAACTGAGTAACTTCTGGAGAATTGTGTGTCTAATGCAAGGATTAGTGTATTATGCACATGTAGTGAACCTGGCATCAGATTCACAAAAAAAGAAAGGGAAAAAATGCAAAACTGACTAGCACAAGTCTAAATTGAGTACATGCATTAAAAACAAACAGCAAACCAAAAACCAGAATGAGTCTACAAAGCATGGATGGCCCTGAACTATGGATGAAATGCGTGTGAGTGGCCCCCGAACCTGGATGTTCACCTACCCATTCATGCTCTACAGTTTCTTGTGAGCAGTCGTTGAGCAAGTTCTGTGTGAAAACCAACACATTTCTACTAGTTTTAAAAAAGGGCAAGGATGGAATTGCTACAGTGTGACCAGTTGTCAAGTTGTAGATGTAGAAGTTGGGTCCTTTTCGACTGCAACTAAAGCTAGAGGTACATGTATACATATATATTTTCTTGTATGCACTCACTGCAGAGCACCACCACATATGCCACGCGTAAGTGTACTCAGTAGAAGCGCTGTGATATACACGCTGTCGGAAATTCACGGACCTCAAGGGTCATGTGACTCAACAAGCAATGCCACATCATTTCTGAGGTCACGTTCGTTCACGTCACGTGCAATATGTTCCTGCAAGCTTTGCTGGTGCCAAGTGGCCAGGTGCACGGAATTTACAAACACTGGCAGTGAAATTTATTTGAAAGAGCTGAGAGCAGTTCTCTGGAAATAATACCCTAGCACCGCAACAGTGACAGTATGAACGGATTTCTTAAGTAATTTTATCCACCAAAGATAGATGCCAAGGATGAGACCTGTACTGATTTCTAACTGTCTTTTTATTGTTTTCTTGGAAATCATTGGATTGTCTCACTTTGCAAAAGACCCTAGCATGAGACTGCATTCACTCTATCAAATGTTGTCCCCTCTCCCCTGCCTTCCCCTCCCAATATGGATGACCAGCAGGGATATAAGGACTTGCAGTTTGAATGATACCATATGAGTATTTAACTTTGGGGATAATTTACTTTTTGTTTACTGATCCATGTACAGTAAGGGCGTTTCACAATAGTGTGTCACCAAGAGTTTGCAACGCGTTGGCCAATCACGACGACCCAATGCGTGTTTAGAAACGGTCAACAGATTAGACGCATTGTGATTGGCCAACGCATTGCAAACTCTTGGTGGCACACTACTGTGAATCACCCATATTACCTGGTTTTTTTTTTTTTACTGCAGGGCACAATGTTCAAATAGGCCTATGATCACAGTTCTGATCCCATGACAATATCTGTTACAAAATCAGTGTGTTAATGTCTACTCACATTGAAACAAGGGTAGCCTTGACAGGGGGGGTAAGAGGTGGAGACAACAAGTAATAGGGGCGTTAGTCCTCATTCGACACTATTCAGAGTAACACAACACAGGGGGAGACAAGCATGCCCATCCAAATTGACACCCTATGAATATGCAAAACTCAACATACATGTAGGCCTGTTTGTTATTACAAGGTTTTGGGGACAGACAAGTACATGTACCAGTACGGTATGGTAGATCAGTGCACATATCCTGACACTGACTGGATTTCAAACTTTTGAAGAATCTCAGGAGGTTCCGCAAGCCAAAATGCAAACTCAAAAGACACCGATGCTAAGCAGTTTAGGTCAGCAAAATGCACTCTCCAAACTAAAAAAAAAAAAATCTGCTGGATTTTTCATTTCATTTCTTTTTTTTTGGGGGGGAGGTGTTTGGGAAATCAATTATTTTGTAGTTGAACTGAAAACTGTTGCTGTGCAGGGCTTTCCACACTGAGCAATCTTCCAAATTAGTGCTTGGGTGATTTGCAACAGAATGTTCCGATGGTACGGAGAGACAACATCACAGAACAAGCGTTTAAAGCTGGCTCAAATTTTCACTGCATTAAGCTCAGGCACACAGCTTGTCAGCTTCTCAGCCTTTTGCTATCTTGCAAAAATATTCTCTCATTTTATTTTTTAAAACATGCGCGGAGAAGACCAAGTTTGGAAATGGTTCAAAGTTGAACAACAATGCTATCTTACACCAGTGTTTCAAAGGTCAGGATTGAGACTTTTAGACAAAAAGGCATCTCACCAGGCTTACACAAAAGTCAAAACAGGAACGAGAAAAATGCTTGGAGTCCAATTTGGAATGGAATTTTGACTGCTTGAAGTAAAAGACAAATGACTCATTAATCCTGACACTCCCAAATCCTTTAAAATCCCTCAAAGGGTTTCATGAGGTTTTGGAACAGTGTAACCTACATGTAGCTAGTGGAGACCATTGGAAATGGCACATAAATTGCTTCATCTATGTATATCACTATTTTGTGGGGCTATACTGTCTGACACACTAATGCACTATGTATTTCACATCAAAATGTTCCTTGCATGCACGTACATTTCTTGGAATAACCACACAAAATGTTGAAGCACAATTGAATTTTCTGAGCTACCGGCACACAGTGTACTTAGCCCATTAACGAGCCATTTCTAATGGTTCCTCTCATTATATTGCACGGGAAGTGACGGCCTTGATTGTTGAAGCGCTAAGAGCAGTTTCCTGCACAAAGGTGGATTTGGGAAGATTTTGGAAGATTCAGGAAGGGGGAGTAAAAAGTCTCCACTGGGAGCTGAGCACAGAAGCCGGACAAGCTCACCTGAGGCCCACTGGCCGGTGGCACCTGTATGTGACCCAGGATGTTTCCCACCAGCGTCTCCAAGGGTACATCCATTGAGTCGATGTAGGCTGTGTAGATCAGACCTAGGCAATTCTGAAGAGGTAACAGCCGGAAATGACAATGAAGGTTTCAGTCCAGGCATAAGATCTGGCACCTTGCAATGAGCCAGTTTGGTACTCCAATGGTACACACCCAGAATGAAGTGCGTCAGAGGCAATTCAAGAACGTGCACAAGGTTGGCCTTATCAGAGCAGCCGTATCCCAAAACTCCCACTTGTGAAATGATGAGCAAATGTTCTCCCGCTTGGGTGAGAAGATGTGAAACCGTTTTCCCACTCGTGTAAAAAGGCAAGAAAATTTACTCCCCCTTGTGTGAAAAGGCTTTTTCCACTCTTGGCAATTGCTTTCATACTTTGTGAAATGAAAATCAAATCCCAGAGAAGCCAAAAAGGTGGGAAAAGAATTTCCCCTTCCCAGGTTAACTTTCACCTGCAAGGTACTGTACAAGTTATTGCACACATACCTTGAGGGTCTCAAAGTAACTCAGCCTAGAGATCAGCACCAGACTCTTGGGCGCAAACATCATGGTGTGGTGCACCAGGGCGCCCTCCATCTCATCTTCCACGTCATCCGGCCGGGTGGGCGTCATTTTGACAGCCTCAGAGAAGGTGAGCACAGCACAGTAGTGCCGCTCCGCCTCAATATCCGTCAAGACAGCAATGAAGAATGTCGGCTCCAGAGCTCGGGAGAGGAGCTTCCAACCTCCGGGCTGACAGAACTGAACCATTTTGGGAAGAAACGGAAAAGGACTGTTAGATGCTATCATTAAGATAATACTCCTCGAATACTGCGGCCTTGGTTCTGAAACCAAACTTTTCAGCTAACTGTTGTGCTCATCTTACCAGTTCAATCCCAGATATGAAGGGCACATCTTCCCAGTCTTTCTCAGGGAAGCGCTGGAGGATCTTTCCACAGCCAAAAGAGGATCCACTCTCTGCAAGAACAAACAAACTAAAATTGACTATACATGCGTAGCTCATGTTTCATGTACCTGTTAGCTGCTGACATTTAACCTGTATATCAACTTTCCGATTTGTGTATTGTATGGAACATACCAGAACGGTACAACAATGCATTTAATGTCTAACAATAGCGCACCTCAGAGGTTACCCTTACATACATGTACATGTACAGTGTATTTTCAAGTATATACATGTAGTGGTGTTCAATATACATTGTACACGTGGGATCGTGTTACCAGTATCATAGAGCTGTGCAGAAAGATGAAGGTCAAAGTACTCTTCAGTCCATTTGCCAGCAGTATTAATAATTACATGTTCATGTTCAGTGGTGTACACAGTCAATGGATACAAATGTACATGTACATGTACATGAACATGCAACCCTACAGATCTATTTGTAGTACATGTACACATGTATATGTACGCGTACCACACATGTACATGTACATGTACGTGTGCCGCACTCACTAAATGTTAACAACTAATACATCAACTATAATACAATGCACACTGCACTAGTACACTGTACATGTACATGTACAACCTTGACACAGCGTGAACCTATACATGCTGACTAGTACTCAACGCTAACCCTCTTCAATCCTCCAAAATCCTTCGGGCAGTTTTGGAGTATTTTGGAGGATTGAGGGTGAATGGCAAAAGTGCATGGCTGATTGCGTAGGATGCCATTTAGTTTAGACCTAGAACAAATTGCAATAGAATTATAACTTGAAATAAACATACAGAGAACTTGTAAAAAAACTAACTTTTTCTATGGAGTGGAAAAGTGTTTTTTAAAGCATTTTTAGACTAAAAATTTGAGTTCTTTTATATCCAAACTATGGAGGGCGCCCTTTCTTAATTCCTCTGGTGACTTTCCAGGCAGAAAATACAAAGTAATACAGTAAATCGTGGCGAGGACTATTAATTTCATGTGAAGGTGGCAGACAACAGACCGGCGTTTCACTTAGAAAAAACAAACGTTAACACACATGCAAGAAAGAGTTTATATTTATCATCAGTTATGAATGTGACAGTAAATTATATACCAACAACAGTACCGCATATCATTAACTTCATACTAAGACCTTCAAGGTAATTACTGCCTGCTTTACTATCAGAATTTTTCATACCGAGCCGGGAGGTTGAGCAGAATGGAAGAAGTCGTTGACAAGTGCATTTTTTGCAACGAGACCATAAACACACAGAAAATACTTGCAGGATGTCAGGCAATAGACAGGGCTAGTGAAGCAAGAAAAGATTCAAATACCATAACAGCAAGTCAAAGAGTACACGTTGTTTGTCAACGAAAGTATTGCAATCCCAGGGTGAAGGGTCAACTAGTGACTGCTGCATACTGTGATCTGTGTCTCCTGTATTTAAGTTTGCACAGCATTGTTTATTTTGTGGTCAAGGAGACAGGTATTATGGGAAAAAATGATTGGGTTCTCATTCCGCTGTGGACAGTGGATTTTCAGCATAAAATGCAGGTAGTAGACGCATGTTGTGTGTGCGAAATGACAGTTGGTCAACCATTGTGAAAGGCAGAATTTTCACACGCTGCAGACGCAGTTTACTATAACAAATGCAATATAAGTTTCAGACCAGGTAAACAAATTCCCAAATTGTATGCAGATTCATATAGAAGTGATGTTTTACAGACACAAAGTAATTTTTCGGGTAGGCCATGCAATGAAATTAAGGCGGAATCCTTCAAGACAGTGATGGAACACTTCAAAAAATCATGATGATGAGCAGACAATGGTTACTGACCTAATCAGAAAAATGCAAGAAATATCAGCTTTTCAATCTGAGGTTTACAGTTGTAAGTACATGGAAAAACAAATCCATAAACATTATATCCATGAAGTTATAATTTCTGAGGTTGATGGGAAAACTGACGTTGTTATACAGGAGCTCTGCATCACACATTCTTTATAACTTCTTTAAGCAACAAAAACGAGAAGATCAGGAGTCAGAAAAAAATGAGGTTAACTACAACATCAGCCGATCTCCTCAATTCCAACAGACAAGGATCCAGCACCCAGAGACCAGTTAGCAGTCATCCGATCCAGCTGCATGACAGGATGCAACACACAGCAATGTGACTGCCGAAAAACAAGGTATGGAGTGTTCTTCAGCATGTGGGGGCTGTAAAGGGATCTGTTGCAATGTGACCGTGCCTGACGAAGACGACGTCAACCACGGAGTGGACAATGAATCAACAGATTGATGAGGAGAATCGCAGGATCACCATGCCGCCAACAGTCAAACAGAAAATTTTTCTGAATTTCTTGTCCAACAAAAAAACAGAAAAGAAAAAAAAAGAAAAGGAAACTACATGTATTTAAAAAATTGACACAATAGTCGTGAGCACTTTCAATTTTATTTTTGAGGATGCCTCCTCAAAGACGCAAACATATGAATGTCAATTGACAATGAACCTAAAAGAAACAAAATGTATTTGGAAATGAACACTAACACATTGCATAGTTTTAACATTTAATTTTTGAAATTTATGATAAAACACATTAAGATGTATTTTGGGGATTTTGTTTTTGCAGAAATATGTCAGGAAGTTAAGAGGTTTTACGGCACAGGTTAATTATTTTTAATTTGCTGAGGTATTCCAGGAGAAAATGTTGACAATTTTTAATTTCCTCCCTACGAGTTTGAGTATACGTTTCAAGGTTGCATCTGTTTATTTTTATTTCTCATTGTGTTTTCTGATAGAGCAAATTTTATTTGTTTTTTTTTTTGTTTTGTTTGAGCAGACAAATATACAAACACACAAACTAAGGGAAAAAGTTGCAGCTCTCAAATGCAGAACACTTGTGGAACACTGACTAAAAAGTTTCTGAACAATAGATCCCCCAATACAAAGTCAACTCGATATTGTCAAAATTGACTAAAGGTTTCACATATGTCGCTAATGAAACAATGGAGCTGGATGATTTGTTACTTGCCCATTTACTTTATTAAATCCCTTTTGTAAAGGTCCTGAATTCATAGAACACTCGAGTGTAACTGTTTGATTTCAATTTAGGTTGTAAGCACAGGTTTATCATTTCTGTTTTAAAGGTTGTATAAAACGCTGTCAAATCTTAGGATGATTTGTTGACTTGGCTTTCTATACTAAAGTTGAATTTCTGAATTTCCTATTACAACCCCACCCAACACTGAAGAGAGAATCAAAACCTACCAGACTACAATTTCAACTTTGCCAGAGCAAATATCCCTCCCAGAACAATTTACCGGTACATGTACATGTACTTACTGTAGATGCTAAACTGACAACATTTTTGGTGGATATTTGGATAGAAATTCAGTTATTATTAAAAATCTAGATTGATAATTGAAATAATATTTTAGTGCAGCAGCTCCCAGGCAGTTAAATCCCAAGATACCGGTATCATTAAAATACCCGGTATCTACATTATTAAAAAGCCGTCGGTTACATGATCAATCGTGTTCCCTGACGTGTCCCACATTATGCGAACCTAGGTCAGGGCGCAGAACAGACGTGCAGCAAAAAACCATGGCACGGTCCGAACAACGGTTTACACTTTAGTTACTTGCTAAATATATCAGTTAAGAAACGGTGAGTAAAAGCACCTTTCCACTCCATGAATAAATTAGATTTTTAGTACCAGTATGTTGATCAGTGATTTTTTATAAGTGTGACAGTGTTAAAATAAATTCTATTGCAATTTGTTCTAGGTCAGGGCCTTTCTGGTCGTAAATTGATTGGACCACCATAATGTATACCTATACATGTACACTGTACATGTACAAGCCAAATACATGAATGTGTGTGTACATGGTGCATGTGGTGTACACGTACATACGTGTACATGTACATGTACATGGATGTATCCATGTACATGTACGTTGTTGTACGTACATGTACATGTATACAGTACGTGTGTGCATGTGCCAGTACATGTACATGCCCACTTGTAACTGAGGATAATGGAAAGGAAACTAGCGGTTGTCACATGTACATGTAACAAAAATATAATGTACCTGCATGTGTACCTGTACCTGTGCATATGTGCATCAACAAAACTACATGGGGAACTGCTAACTTCATTCATTGAACAATTATCCGACAAGGTATTTAATTTAGAAAAAGGCTGCAATGTACATGTACATGTATGTGGTATACCAGTATGTGCATTTACGGTAGTTATTGCTGGTTCACGCATACAATAAAATACTGCCAAGCATTTTGCGGACAGATGTGGCTGCAATTCACTTGTGTATTTTACGATTACAGGGTGCCTAGGAACGTCATCCCCCCTCCCCCCAGCTGCCTGGCCCAGGGTCGGCATCTCCAGGAGTAGATATTCTCCCAAGTTATTCCAAGTATTTCTAGCCAATGTCGATGACCAGTTGATGTGGGAGGGATCATTATGACAGAAACCTCAACTGACAATACCTCAACTGTGGAAATGGCTGAGCCGAGACTTTGGTTTGTGCGAGCTGAACAAGGGAAATTTGGTCATACAGGCCAACGGAGTGGGTGACAATTGAATCAACTGAGTTGCTGTGTTCTAATGGAATTTGGCTTGGATGGGAACACTGGATAATGCCTCATTTAGTTCAAAAAAAGTCTGGAAAGGTCAGAGACAAATATTAAATGTTGCAAACATGCTCTTTCTTTTTTCTCGCATTTTATCATCTTCCAAGGAAAACATGCATTGCGATGTTTGTACTGATATGAAAACGATGGATCCCCTTTCAAAGCGGAGTGGTTTACAGACGCATTAACAAAGCTACATGTAAAGATATTATACCATAAATGAACATGCATACACAGTATTGGCGAGTGCATGTACATGTAAATGTATGCTGTGTGCGTGCACATTGTAGGTACATGTACATGTAGCTTGAAAACATTTAATCAAGACAATATTACATACTCAAACAAAGGACCGATTGATTTCTGTATTTGCCATATCCAACAGGC